CTGGATTTGAAATTCTAGATTTTAGCATCATTTCCTTCAGTCCTCTGAAAAGACCGCAGAGCTCTGGTTCCTTCTGGCATTGGATGAAAATTTGATACTTGCTCTTCCCAAGTTAACAGCTGAGAGCATTTAGAATTTTATCTGTCTCGGTTGGTCTTTAATTCCCCCATTTTATGTCATCTGTTTGGCTCTCCATTCCTTTGTAATCTGGGTCTTTCATCTTCATTGAGTTTAAAGTTTTCATTAACTGGTCCTTTAAATATTTGCTCCTTTTGTTGCTCACCCCACCCCCTGGGGTTTCAGTCTTACAGATGTTGTTAATTGCCATCCCTGGACCCCCTTATTTAAGTTTTCCAGTGCTGGGGTAGTACAAATGTTTAAGTGCTCAGCTGCTAACCAAAAGGTTGGGAGTTCGAATTTACCAGAGAAACACCACAGAAGAAAAGTCTGGCAATCTTTTTCTGTGAATTGAACCACTGACAACCCCGTGGAACACAGTTCTCCCCTGATGCACAGGGGGTGGGAGGCAGTGTCTTTCTTTCTTGTGCCCACCTCCTTCTCGACCCTCTGGATGCCTGTGATGTGCTCAGCTGGTGGTTGCGTCAGGTTAGTAAAGCCGCCCCACACACTTTTCATTTCATATCTGACCCAAAGGTTCTAGTTGGTTCTTGTTCTTGCTTCAAGTTTCTGATGTGTTTCCTCATCTCTGTGATTATTTCACATTCTTTGAATTCCTGTCCCGCCCTGCTCACCAATCTGGGATTTCTGTATCCTCTGACAGCTTGTTGTCATAACTCTGTGGATTTGTACTCTGTTGGGGGTGGGCGGTTTTCATGGTGGCTGGCAGTGCAGTATGTATTGAAGGGAGCAGTTGGTCTGGGATCTTGTCCCCAGTCCACCCCTGTCCCTAGGGCCCCGGCTGTCCTGTGCCTTTGGGGTCTTTTTCTAGAGCTACTCAGGGGCCCACTGCTCCCAACTGTCCTGGGATGTGGTCACCTCTGCTCCCTTGTCTGTCACCTTCTCAAGCTTTCTCAGCCCTGCTGACTCCCTTCTTGGTCTTTGTGGTGCCCTATCTTGAAGTCCTGGCATGGCACTGTAAGATAAGCACTGGACTGAAAGGTCGGTATGAACCAAAAGGTCACCAGTTCAAACTTACCAACTGCTCCTCAGTAACCCTATCCAGGATTGCTGAGTCGGAGCCGACTCCACGGCACCCAGCAACAACAGTAAACAGTATGCATGGGACTACATAAGGGGTTCTGGTAGCATATTGGGTTACACATTGGGCTGTTAACCACAAGGTCAACAGTTTGAATCCAGCATCTGCTTCACGTGGAACTATGAGACTCTGTTCCTAGAACATTTACAACATCAGAAACTCTACAAGCTCTGAGTTGGAACAGACTCAACAGCCCACGACGACAGCGACATTCTGACATGTGCATTCAATATTCTTTGCCAACACACAACACAAAAGCATCAATTCTTCCTTGTTCATTCTTTCTCATCATCCAGCTGCCCATGCACATGAGATGACCACAGACACCCTGACTAGGGCAGGTGCACCTCAGGCCTCAGGGTAGCACCCCTGTGATTTAGGGGTGTGGAGAGAAAGCCTGTGGCCAGGGCTGCTAAGACACCATCCGGCTGCACTAATTTCAGGTTCCATGGTGGCCCTAGGAGAGAAAGGGTGACTTCGTGGTGTCTGAAGGTCGGAGCCGCTCCTGGAACCTGGAGGACATGCTCTGTGCTGGACAGGCCTGGCCTTCCAGAGCGGCCTGCTCCTTCTCCAGAGGGAAGCGGCCCGGGAGCGTCCAGTTGGTCAGGCAGATGGGCCTATGTATGACCTGGGCAGGGGTTACCTCCATGGGCCAAGAAGGGACATCCAGGTGAACCTGGGATGGGCCACAAGGTTCAGTCCTCTCTCAGGTGACGACATCCCAGGTCAGCTGGGAGCAGTGGGCTGCAGACCATCCACCTGGCAGAGGCATACTGACTGCACCTGAGGGGCGAGCTCTAGAAAAGAGCCTTCTTTTTCAGCTCTGTCCAGGCCAAAGGAAGTCTGCGACACAGGCACGGAAACACCTGAATGTTGAGAGTCTCTTCTCAACCAGCTCTGGTACCCCCCACCCCCGGCCCCCAGCCCTTCTACAACTCCTCACAGCTGACCTCTGAGTCCGTCTGCAGAATTCAAGTTCAAACACTGTTCTTGGGTGCAGCATGCTGGCAGTGATGTCCTCAGGTACAGCCTGGGGCATGGGGGTGCTGAGAGGTGGCCCTCGTGTCTCTGAGGAGCCGTGCTGACCCTCGCTTTTCTAGGAAGCTTCTGCAGGGGGTTCTGATCAGCTGCAGAGTGAAATGACCCAAGGGTGCCCGGGGTGGTCACACTGAGAGCCCAGGGACCTCAGACCCGAGGGTGCCCGGGGAGGCCACACTGAGAACCCAGGGACTTCAGTATCTGCAGAAGCTCTGTCAACCCTCTAGAGGAGATGAGGTGCTTAGAGCCTGTCCCGGGGATACTCCATTTTCCAAGAATGCAAGAATCACTCTTGGCCTATCCAGAGCATGGCTGAGGTGAGCCATGTCTGTGGTGCGTCAGGTGTGCTGGTGGAGGGGTCTGTGAGGGTGCTGGACCCAGAGGGGCTGATGCTAGGGGTAAGAGAGGGAACCAGCTTCCTCCAGCCTCGGTAGAAATGCAACTTATCAACCACAGTCAGCTTTAGAAACTTCCTGAGCAGGAGATGGGATGGGGTAGACTTCTGGGGATGATTAGGACCCTGCTGTGCTCCTCTCTGTGGACAGGGTCCCAGGATAATGCTGCCTGTCCCGGAATTACAAATTATTCAGAGAGGACACACTTCCTGCTTCCCCGCATGGGACTGATGGTGTCCTGGAATGGGCAGAGTCACAGACCACAGTACCTGTGACCAGGACTGAGACTCCAGAATCTGGTCCCCTCCCCACGGCAGTTGTCTCGTCCCTGAGGACACTGTGGTACAGCCCACTCAGGTGATGGCTGAGTTCTCGCTCCTCTGAGGGTGCCCCTCAGAAACTTGGACCCATGCTGTCATGTCTGGTCGCCCAGCACAACACTCGGGGCAGACCAACACGGGTTCTTCTGGTCTTCTCTTCTCCCAGGTGGGTGCTGACTCCCACATGCCATGCTGACTCTCAGCCTCTCGGATGTGAAGGCAGACAAACTGTCACAAATCTGAGGGCTTGAATGCCCAGTCCATCGGCTCCATCAGAGTTTCCAGAAGAACAGGGCATTTGATTGGACACACACACAGCCCCTCGGGTCTTTCTGAAAGTCCCTCTGAAAGGGGGAGGACATTGAACTGGAATCGCAGTGGAGGGACCTGCACTGGACCCAGGATGCTGCTCCCCTGCCCTCCGGAGCCCAAACTCTCTTCCCTTCAAGGAGGCAGGAATTTGCCTCCCTTCTGGTTGTGTATAAGAGACCCCCTTTCACCTTGTCCTGGCCATGGTGTGGTGCCTTCCCCACCTGGTCCATCTGGTGTGGACCCCGGGCTGTTAGGTGCCCCAGGTCCACGGCATGGCCACAGCTCCATGTCCCTGCCAGGGCCTGTCCAACACTCAGTCCACATACTCACAGTCTAAGCAAGACGCTGAAGGGAGACGCAGGCCGACGCTGTTTTAGCCACTGAGACATTTGTTTTGAAAATTGCAGCCAATGTCCCAAATACAGAGCATCTAAATGGTTGAATGGAAAATGAATATACTGTAATCTTTCACCCAAGCTACAATAAAAAAAATAATAATGCTCTTTCTTTTTGGCCTTTAACTTGGAGAATGCAGCCAGCAGCTAACTGACAGAGGCAGGGTGGGCGCGTGGTTCAGAGCTGACAGGCAGCAGAGCTCTGGCCCGACTGCCCCTCCTGCGGGACCCATGTGGCCGTCAGCTTATGCTTGCATGCCTCTGCTGTCAGTAGACTCACTACTTCACTGGTGGCTGCTCTGCATGTTGGCCCCAAAGAGCTCCACCCCTACCCCCATCACATCTCAGTACCTTCTTACTCATCCAGTGCTGCCTTAACAGAAATACAAGTGAGTATTCCATACACAAAATTTTCTCTCACCCTTTGGGAGACTAGAAGTTCGGGGCCTCAGCTCTTCAGGACAGCACCCTCTGTCTGTCGGCTCTGAGAGAAGGCCCCAGTCTCTTTTCGGCAGTGTTCGGTGGGACAGGCATTCCATGGAGATCTCCATGTCTTGGCATCAGTCTTCCCCTGGGTCTAGGAGATTCCCAGCACAGGGACCTCGGGTCCCAAGGATGCCTTCACCTCCTGCTCTTCTTCCTTGGTGGTAGGAGGTCCGTCTCCCTGTGCTCACTTCACTTCTTTCTCCTCATATCTCCTGTAACATAGAAGGGGGTGCAGTCCACACATCCCAGGGAAGCACCATCAGATCTGGCTGAGCATATGGGATCACCTCCTGGTGGATGATTACGGCATCACCTCACTGCCAAGCCACCGAGAATCATGGCCCATCCACGCTGTCAGGACTTTGTCCATGGCGTTGCTGCTGTCCAGTCCACACACCTCCTGTACAGACTTACATGGAACCAACAACACCTAACATATCGAGTAGTTCTGACTCACGGCAATCCCACATGTGTGTCAGAGGACAACGGTTCCGGAAGGCTTTCCTGGATGACAGCTTTACAGAAGCAGATTGCCAGGGCTTTCTTCCATGGAGCAACTGGGTGGGTTTGAACTGCCGATCTTTAGGAAAGTCATCGAGCGACTGCCAACAGTGTGTGCCACCCATGGATCTATGGTGCCTAGATAGGAGCAGAGCAGAACCACCGGCCAGCCCAAGCCAGACTCTGTCAGTGGGGCCAGTCTCCCCTGCTTGGTCAGCACAGTGTCCTCATGAACTAAGACTGGAGACGTAGCATGGACTCGTCTTGTTTCCTGGATGTCTCACGTCAGTGGAGCTGTACTGCCTCTCCTCGGGGGTGTCCCTGGGCTACAAGGATGATGTCTTTGATCCGGGAGCTCAGCTCTGTTGTCCGGCAGCTCTCTAGCCTGCCCTGCCCACCACAGAACAGTCTCAGTGCCCATCTGGAGGAAAATCACTCTCAGGGAAGGGGCACAGATTTCCGCAAAAAGACGGCAGCTGACATGAAACAGACGTCGAGTGTCTTCATCGAAGCCAGGAGGGCGTTTCACAAGACAGGAACCATCTGCACCCGACAGTAACGAGATGCACTCTTCATAAAAGTCTTACAAATGGTGGCTGGTGATGACAAGGCTGGTCTGCAGACAGGCTGATGGGAGCGGGCCGCCCTTGCGCTATAGTCATGTATTTGGCCAAAGCGGCTGCAGGAACGAAATGAGCTGTCACCAGCTACTCCCTGCAGGAGAATCAGCAATGTTGTCAGTCCAAGAGCCCGGGAACTTCAGGCGTGCAGATGACAGGGACCACACTGGGGCCCTCCTGCACACTCATGTGAGTAATGAGATCTGCCACCGAGTATGCCTCCTCCCAGGACACTTACAGGGACGTCCACTGAGCATGTCCTCCCCCCAGGACACTTACAGGGACTCTCACTGAGCATGTCCTCCCCCCAGGACACTTACAGGGACTCTCACTGAGCATGTC